GACAAATACAGAGTACAACTCAATACAATTTATAATAACTAAAAATAATTCAGGCAGACACTACATGTTTATGGCAAATTCCTTGATTCTCTACTAAACATTAAGATCTTAACATAATTAGGTACTAAAATATGGAGAAATTATTTACGAATTACATTTATAGAAATAGTATATTATCATATAAGTAAAATTTCCTCAAAGTATTTATAGCAATAACAGTTTAGAACAAGACAATTATATTTCATCAATAAAATAACATATTTAAATGTTTAAAGACATAAATATGTTCCTGGGTCTCACATACCTCAGTGTGCATGGTTTGAATCGAAAAATAAGAGTATGTGCAAGGTTAAATGCTAGACAATGCCATTTTTAAGAGGGGGATAACAGGTTACCTTGCAATACATTTAAATGTGAACTAAAGCACGATTTCAAACCTTCTTTTTAAAATTTTTTATTTTGTTGTTGATTTTCTTCATTCTCTTGATCTAGTAATATACTACTGAGGAATTTTTAATTTTTTCAACCCAAAAGACCATTAAGAAAATGCAGTTGTTTGAAGAAAATTAAAGCCACAAAAGAACAATTAAATGTGGGTACTAATTTTGACTAAATTTATAACCTATTTTGAAGTTTCTATTGACTAAAACTAGTGACTGATTGAGAAACTATGGATGAAGAAATATGGGTTTTCAATAAATAAAACTAACTTTCACCAATATCCTTCAGTTTTATAATCTTATATAATCTCAAGAGCAAGTGTGATGAATCCACGTAAATATTATGTCACCTATAGTTTTATTGCATTTTCTACAATAAGGAATGTAGTTCTTGCGATTTGGCCAGTGCGAGTACAAAACTTAAACCATTAGTTGGCCGACGTTTCGGAATACCTGTATTTTTTTCCATAGAAGTGAATAAAGAATGTTTCTTCATAGTGGTGAAGAAAGCATGAAGACAACATCAATTAAATATACACTTACATAAATTAATAACATGTCAGTGTATATTCATATTGATGTTGTCTTCATCCTTTTAACATCAGCCCTAAGGGATGGAATAAAAACATTCCGAAACGGCGGCAAACAATAGTTTAATTTTTCTACTCACTTCAGCAAATCCCGTGAACTACATTCCTTATTGTACATCAAGGTCGTGATTTCTATAATAGTGCATTTTCTAAGTTTCTTCCTACTTACAAACGCGTGAAGTAAAACGGCTGGTCCATTGACCTGCAGGATCTTCCACACGAGGGCGAGATCCATCCTTCATCACTTCGTAGAGTTAAAAATCAAAGGAAATACCGGGAATGATATTTTGTTATTCTGTTCGGAAGGTTGACAGCTAAGTGATCACAAAGTGGCGGAGGCGCTAGTATCGGTCGCACGAATCCTTTGAATCCCAGTTGTCGCGGGGGGGATTAAATGCCTAATTTCATAAAAATCGCTTCCCAAATTCAATCCCTAATACTTAAATTAATTTGGTTCATGACATATTTTGAGTTAAATTACAAAACCGAGCATCACCAGAGTAATCCCCCTATTTGCTTCAATGGTACGTTCAGATCGGTAGATTTTTTTAAAAAAAGTTGTTGGACAGGTTCTAAACCAGCATCATCAAAGACCCTATCTTGCTGTGAAATGCATTCTTGCGCCAGCCTATGGACTGAGGCGCCAGTTTTTAAAGTAACAAGTTGCATACAGTGAGCATAGTTGGAATGAGCAATGTGATAGTCACAGTGTTGGAGGTTAGGGATAATTCTTGCGAGTGATTTACATTGTTTTAATATCGTTGTAATAATAATATTGCAAAGATTGATACAAACTGATTCATCTGTAAGAACATCGCACAACAGAGGAAATCTTATTTAAGACGATTAAAACTCGCAACTACCACTCCACCCCTCACTAGAAACAAAATATTAATAAACATTTTTTGGCCCCGAAATTTAGAGAGCCCTAAAACGCGCGTCTCTCCAGAACGGGAAAACAGATATTGAGTTCTCGCATCGCCTCTCACTGCACACGTTGAATTCTATCTTGACCATTCTAGACCATCTGTATAGTAACTAGACGAAATGGAGAGAAATTCAAGATAATCACTTGACGTAGGGACAAGGGTATTTCATTACAATTCTCACCAACATATTTGGTACTAATAAAAATTCAAAGATATCTAATTAATGTTCTGAAAAAGTTTTTGAAAGTTGTTAACAATATTACTTTTTAATAGTCATTCGAAGTCAAATCGCATAAATTCAAAGAAAATTTGACTGATGTCCTAGAGTTTTAAACGTTTTTTTTTCTATGAAGAGTAACTAAAAATATGAAACACACGTTTTTCATTTCTTCCCAAAGACGTTTTTCGAGACATTCTTACTTTTCTAAGGTTTTGAAACAGATTATTACATCGCTTAAGTAACGGTTTGTAACTCGTGTTGTAATTATGACAAAACATTTGATGTTTTTCGACATTAAAGAACAGAAGATGCTATTTCATTTTATGCATGTCTTGTTTTTTTAGCATTTTTAGCTCATTTTCTTTTTTTAATTTTTTCCTCAACACAACTTAAAAATTTCGAAAAAATACCACTGTATTCTCTGAAGTGTTTTACATAAGTATGATAAGTTTCAAAACGAGACGCCATCGTAATTCTATAATTAGGAAAAATTAAATACTATAGAAATTTCTAATTGCTCTTCTGTTGCAGCGTCTGCCAGAGCGTCACCCTCCAAGCACATGTCAATTAGCAGTAGACAATTATCATAGTCATACGGACACAGAATTATAAATAGAAATATCCTTTCAAATCCTTCAATGAGCCCAACATGTACCACGATCTTTATTGATGATTTAATTTAAAATCAAGAGCATCAAACTGATTCTGTTTAGTATTAAACGAACGGCATAATTGCACAATAATAGAATGTAATTGAGGTGTTTTTTTTTTTGGATAGATGCTGACACAATGAGAGAAATACATGTATGTTGACAGAGTCTTAATTTTGCGTAAGAAGTGATCTAAGTTTACGCTGAAAAGGATGAGTTTGTGTCGCGTTTTAGAAATTCAGAAAAAGTAATTTCTGTTTGACGTTTAAATTTTTCTTTTAAGTATAACAAAAAAGGAAGCGGGGTAGCTTAGTCATTAATTTAGTGCACTCTTTGAATTGCATCTTGAAGTACAAAAGATTAATTTTCTAAAAAAATATCATTGGACAATGAATATTCCTGGTGTCAAATTCTATTTTGTTTCATTTAGATAAAGAGCATTTTATGTTGCAGTATACGAGTGTGGAAGTATGGTATCCGAATTCCAAGATTTCGAAATTGAGTATTCGTTGTATTTGTAACGGAGCGGGCCTCAACAACAGCTAAATTTGGCGAATGACTTGCACACGGGGGTTAGCGTCCCGAAAGGGGTGACAGAGTCCCAAGAGGGGGGGAGGAAAGGAGGGGCGGAAAGGAAGAGGCGAGGAAACCAACCATAGATCCCTTCCGGGGGAAATAACGTAAATTGTTTACCTATTAGTGGTAGTTTGATCTGCTCAACTTCTGGAAGGATCGCTACATGCCAAAGTTTCTCCAAAAAGCCAACATTTTTGTGATTGTAGTCCATTTATTCAAAATTATTGCTATGTATATACCTCATCGCATGAAAAGCAATATTCCGATTGTGAATATCAAATTTCTTTTTAATTTAACGAGAGGGACCCGGAAGGACCCGCCGGCCCGGAAGGACCTGCAAGCCGGAAAGGACGAACAGAGTGCTGGCAAACGTACATGATTTTGAAGAAAAAGAATTTGAACTTCAGCCTCTTCTTCCAAAGTGTACTTTGTTCAAATGCCTGCCAGATCTAATCGCTGAACGGTTACACCTCCTTTATGTAACTTATAAGAGAATTTAAAATATTCCCAACATTGCTTATGCGCCATCATAACGTTAGCCAGTGATAAAGCATGTTTGTATGTTGTATGAGAGAAAGAATATTTCCGTTGTGGACGAATGTGGACGGTCTTTGTAGTTTTGAAAGTGGAGAGGAATTAAGAATTACATCTTGAACCAAAATACTGTGAATACATAGAAACCAAGATAGTTCAACCAAATTGTCTACAATAAACTTTAGTGTATAATAATTCTCATTACCCTGAAGGAGTGGTATGTTGTCAAATTCTTTTCATATTGATGTAGTTACTATAAACAGAGGTAATAACAAATTGCTGAAAAAGTGTACTATATTCATTTTGAACTAGAATTCAATAAGTTATAACGGAAAAATACTTTGAAATCACTAGGAAAATAATACTGACCTACAATTATTGCAATAATAGCAAAAGCACCACAAAATTACAGTTTGCGAAAGATTTCAATAATGAAAAACAAAATGGAAGAAAATCTGTAACCATGCATTTTTTTAAAAATACCACAACAACCATATTAGCAATATGAAAAATCTCGAAAATGTTCAAGACCTCCGATGCAAGGCAATTCACAAGATACACAAAAAATATTAATATTTAATCCTCAGATAAAGTTTTACATTTCTTTCTTTTATACCATGACAGGAGAAGGTACTCGGTTCTTTCTTGCTTCTATAAAAAATATTACTACCAAAGGTCAGAACAAGTTCACAATTTCCACATGCAAAGCTTACATTCTCTGCTGGAATCAAACACCACATACAAAAATACTCGTCTTCAATGTAAACAATTATAAACAAAAAAGTCAAACAACAGAAGCTGAAATGAGCATGATTATACCTTGTATATGTGAAAGCTGAATTAATATTCACCCACAGGTCTAGAACACCATTAATTTAGTAAGAAAAGAATAGCAAGAGGATGTAAAGATGGCATAAATAAATTGTTAGCAACAAAAACCCACTTTTATCGCTGCTGGACCTTGCTCCCAACAATTTTCAGCAAGAAAGAAGCAAACAAACACACTTTCAGAAAACACATGTTACACATAAATCTAAATAAAAATTATATTTTTTCCGTACATATTCCCAGTACGCAAGTTCATTGTCCTTGTTTCTCCACTTCTTCAGCCGCCACCAGTCTCGCCACCACGACCAGGCCTCCATCAAACAGCTGCTGCCGGCAACGTCGAGAAACTTCACTGCCTTTTGCACACTTCCACTCCGTTGTCGAGAGAGCACGAGCAACCAAAGCACCTGTGGCTTTAAGTCTCCAGGGAAAGATGTCTAGATTTGGTCTCCTTGCAAACTCAAGCATGAGAGCCACTTCAGCGTGCTTCTACCTGTGCGTATTTAATAACCAGCTGAGCATTACAGAAGTGAAACAGCACTTTTTAAAATACAATATATTTACAATAACCAGAGTATATTAGAAATGCCTTCCCTGTAAAATGGCAATAAAATTGCCATATTTGCATAGTGCCTAACCAACGTCTTCGAACATTTGTGAATATTCTATTTTATGTTTTGCTGGATCTTTCGACTTTGACATCTCAGCCAAGCTCGCACCCCCTCTTCTCAGAAATTCAAAATCAAGTAGCCTAAATTCTGAATGCAAAAGTGGGGGTGTTAGCGTAGCGTCAAACAAGCACCCCAACTATTACACGGTATCTATTTTGTAATGCTATAATAATGCACTAATTAAGAGGGTTTGGATGGAAGTCATGGCAACTATTTTGTTTCGGATCACACAATTTTATTTGACACGTGATTTCCTGTGCTGTACTTAAACATAACTTTGTACTTAAACATAACTACATTTGGCTTAAATCAGCTGTTACGGTGTCAACCAGTTGAGAGGGAAGCTCTCGATTGGATGCCACTGGAACAGCTGATTTACTTCAAGAGCAGCGCTACATAAATCGGAGTAAAACGTGAGTTCACAACAACAGATGCCTTTGAGTCTCTCTTGGCACAGAGAGCAAGTGAAATCCGTAGTCTTGACTGCCGTCGTGTCAGATGAAATTAACCCGTGACAAGCAGCGCTTATACTTCAAGATCACCGTTCTCCAAGGGAGAATTATCCCAGAACACCACAGGGAATTGGCGGAAGCTTTTGGGAATATTGCTCTTCCATGCAGGGGAGTCGCGAGATGGGCAGGAGAGTTTCTGCGAGGACACGCAGCAACTAGTGATCAGAAACGCACGTAGCGACCTGTAAGTGTGCGGATCGATGTGGCACTTGCGGTAATCGAGCATATGCATATTCCGACCTTCAGAGCAGTTACGGAATGTTGTAGGAAAGTATATGCTAAATTGCGTACTAACATTATACCAGTACTGTCATTTCAAACACCTTTATAAATATGAGAAACAATTTTGATGTGCCGTTGAATGCACATGCCCTTAATTCATACTTCGCTCTTTCGTGTGTATATTTCACATTTTCCACCAGTGCTCGTATTCTCTCACAATCTCTCTCAATATTATCACTCACACCCACCAAAAAAAGTTGCCATGAATAATGCCCAACCCTCGTATATACAACTAATTTTGCATCGAAATTTTTTTAAAAAAAAGTACTTTATTTACATACTATTTTTTTCTACTCAATCAAAAACAATTAAGAAAGTGAGAACGTTAAGAAAGTGCAAAAGTGGTTGTGGTAGATTGATGTATCCACATGTCAATGTCGTGCGCTCCCAGCGTTCCGTCTCGGAAGCTGTACTAATTGGAGAGAGTATTCGACGTGAATGTGTATTCTACAGAATTGTACTTGAAGACAAGTTGTGTAGTGAAAATATTTACCTTCCTTCTTATTCCCTATTGGGTATAGAGAGATTACTCTTAAGAAAGAACAGCTGTGACAGCTACTAATTGGCTATTGCTGGCAAAATAACTGTACGTTATGACTAGGGGGCGGTTTTAATGAAATATCATCTCTTTTCTTTCACTTTAGAACAATGCCATTTAGTATAGGAATTCATTTTATATTATGACAAAACGAAAAGACCCATTTCATGTCACTTTTTTTTGCATTTTTTGTTGATTTCAGCTAAGTCATTTTTTTACCTCTTTACGTAATTTTTAATGTATTTTTCGCTGATTTAATAGATTTAAATGATACTTGCTTCAAACAATATTTACGAGGTGCAACAAGTGTTCACCACTGAATTTATGAGTAGGTTATTCGATTTGTTCGTTCATATATTGTATTGTCAGACGTTGTGAGTACTATGTAATTATTATCTGTTCGACCTAAGAAAAATCCTGATGTAAATAAATACACGTGTGTTAGGATGATTCTCATTGGATTGCAGTGTGGGCTCTGCTGTTGTCGGGTTCTTGACACCAGTTCTCTCTATAAGAACTAATTTATCTGCGATCGTTCGTAAAATTAACCTTGCATTAAAACTATTGCAACGGTTTCGAGATAAGAGACCATTGTGAAGTGAATTCGTGTTGCTGGGCAATAAAGCCCGCTATACACGGTCATTATTGCATCATTTCTTCATCATTTTTCTGTACAGAAAGTGGATGGAAAAAGGATGTGCGTTTGTTTCGGTACCGAAACTGGATGAACGTGATTCCGATGTTTTACACGATCATTTCGGCTCTGTATGCAATCGTGATGAAAATACTTCCTCCACACGCCGCAAAAAGCGCTGGAAGTTAAACAGTTGAACATCGCACGTACGTAAACAATTGCAATACGCGGGAAGAATGATGAGATTCGCAGTGAAGGTGGTAGATAGTCGTGTGAAGTATTGTGATTTTTGAGTTGGAAATGGAAAGGAAAGCAGTGACACTCAACCTCACGAAATCACAACCAAAACAGCACAAAACGCTCTAACGTTCGAACAACTCTCCAGGGCACGGAATCGAAGAAAGTTCCATAGAGTAACACCAGGAGCGCCATAGTCAAACTGGATGCAATTTGTACGGAAAAATGAAGCATGCTTCATTTTTACGTACAAATTGCATCCAGTCTGGTCAGTAACTTGTCTGTACCGACGAGAAATGATGCAAAAATGACTGTGTAAAGCGGGCTTAAGGTTACGAGCCTCTGACAGTTCAGTCCGTGAACGTGCTGATGGGCACGGGTCGGCTCGTGGGTCCGTGGGTCCGCGGCGCCGCACCGCCGATCGCCCAGCAATGCACTGCGTTTTAGAATGTCAGAGTGTGGCAAGCCAATCCAGAATTAAACACAAGTTTGCAAAATTTCTTCGGAGTAGCGAAAAGCGTTCGTTCTGAACGTTTTCATTCGTTAATGCTTAGGAATCCGCAGTTACCGGTGAAGCAAATCGCAGAGTTCACTGGAATATCTATGTTCAGTGTACTGAAACTCCGGAAAGAGTTCACTGACAAGGGTCATCTACAAACGCCAGAGAAGAAAAGGGGAAGAAAGTGCATTCCTTGCATCAAAAGGGCAAAAGTGCAGAAACGAACCACCAACCCTTGCAAAATTGTTGCAGCGTGTGATCAAGAGCTTCCGAATTTTGAGGCAACCAATTTATACAAGTAATTGACAACATCCTGTTGACAACCACTTCCTAAAGCAGACTGATCGTAAGTAAAGTAGTTGCCCATTGTATAATCATGACCTTTGATGAATAAAGAATTAAAATCGGTTCACGGGATTGGTCAATGTGGTTAGAGAAACAATTAGTTACGCCCACGTTTCGAAATATTTAATTTCTTCATCAGGGCTAAAGTATAAACAATGAACAGTGCACGAGGACAACATACATTACGCAAATAAAACCATAAAATTAAACAAATTAAAATTATAAACTAGGATAAATAAAACATTAGAATATAGGAAGTACTAGTAAGGTGTGTACTAGTAAGGCGCCATTGTCAGTTCGGCCGATTTCGCGAGGCAGAGATATTCTTTTAAATAACCGCCCAAACCAAACGTTTGCAGGCTGAATCCACTTGAACAGAAGGAAGAAGCCTCGATTACAACAGTAACATGCCCAACAGATAGAGTTGTTCATCTGAAGTGTTTTTGATCAATTTTTTACGTCATTTTTCTTTGTTTTAGGGCATTTTAAAAACTGTTTAAAAGCATTTTATTGATCACTTTTGGTAATGTTTTAGCTCATCAAAGTTCGCCTCCTAGTTATGTCTATGTGCTCGATTTGTTAATGCATTATTATGCAGATGGCTCACTTGCAAAAGGATTCGACACAATTTCCTGCAAAGCCATCAACCAGCATGACCTTAATTCGTTTTTCGACCAGTGCAATTGGTCCCGTCTTAGTTATTCATCTATACAAAAAGGTATTACAATGGGAATCAACGAAGCAACCACTGTTTGGATGACCTCTGACCTCTGGAGCAACCCCGTTCAAGATGGCTTAAGTTATAACAAATTATGCGTAGTGCAATGTATCCGGAGAAAGACGAAAGTATTATAGTCGTTGGAATATGTTCTAGTGCTTCACACAAGCGATAGCAATTCTTGTTGAAGATAGATACATGATGTATGCATCACAGACGTTAAGTAATAAACACTGAAGGCAGTGATCAAAATTCCAGACCTTATGATTATAAACAGACGGATGGTACTGTCAAAGTGAAACCCAGTGATTCCCAATTCAATTATGGAAGAACTCGGGATATTAAATGTTAAAAGAAGTTCTCCGGTGTCATTTCATGGGATGTTTTTGCAAAAGGGAATTTTACTTATCTATTGAGTTTTAGAAAGCAATTATTCGAACCCGAGAAATCTGTAAGTACCATACCAGACTATTGTTCTGGAATATAAAGTAGAAAGGAATTGGATTTATATGCCTGCCAGCAATATTAAATGTTTTTAATATGCAGGAACGAACAACAGTGCTTTTGATCCTGGATTAAAGTTTTGTTGTAATTGAAACGTAGGCGAGTTCAACAGTAAAAATTAAATATTGCCAGAACTCAAGAATCGACTTTTTTTAATTATCGATGCATTGTAAGCGTTGACCTTAGTAGAAATGGAATAGTTGTATAGGGAGGCTCAAAGCCTCGTGCACACAAATACCTTTTCTTTCGGAACCTCTTTGTAAGTATGGAGCACAATACACGAAATTCAAAGATTTGAGAGCCAGTTTCATTATACCGTTTTAATATTCAAGAATTAAAATTATTTTTCGCCTCTGTACCGCTTTGTTTGTTTTAAAATTGTTTACGGGATCGATGAAATGTTAGTAGGATACAAGTTGCAATATTAAATTATTAGGTAACCGGTACAAATAATACTTGGAAGAATGTTCTGTAATAGTACCTATATTTCGGAATTATCTGTCTGCGGAAACGTGGGAAAATAAGTAGGCGATTGAAGCTGGGCTAATAGTGA